GCCTCGCTCACGCCCCGCACCGCAACGGCCCCACGCGCATGCGCACGGCCACGCCCTAAACGCGTGCGCGGCTGCTCTAGCAGCGCTACGGCGCCCCCTGGCGAGAGGCGGGCGCGGAGCCGGGCTGCGGGGCGGTGCCGGCGGTGACGCGACGGCGCCGGCGGAGCGCGCTGATGTGTCCCGGAAGTGTCGCGCCAGGCCGGGGCAGCCGTGCCGTCATGCCGCTGAAGGCCGTGATCCTCATCGGGGGCCCGCAGAAGGGTAAGTGGCCGGGCTCCGCGGGGCTGCCGACCCGCGCCCGGCCCCGCCGACCCGCTGTGCACCGCAGGCACCCGCTTCCGGCCGCTCTCCTTCGAGGTGCCCAAGCCGCTGTTCCCCGTGGCCGGCGTGCCCATGGTGCAGCACCACATCGAGGCGTGCGCCAAGGTACGCGGGGGCTGGGCTGAGCCTGGCCGGACCGGGCGCCGTGCAGGAGCTGCCCTCCCACTGTGCCCCCGCAGGTGCCCGGCCTGAAGGAGATACTGTTGATGGGCTTCTACCAGCCCCACGAAGCCCTCAGCCGCTTCCTGGCGGCTGCCCAGCAGGAATTCAAGATTCCCATCAGGTGGGTGCTCTGCCGGGTGCCCCCCTTGGCCCTGCCTTCCCTTCTCACCTACCCCAGAGCGCTTGTCGCAAAGCACGTCTATCCCTGAGCCCTCCCTCCCTCACAGGTACCTGCAGGAGTATGCAGCTCTGGGCACGGCTGGGGGTATCTACCACTTCCGTGACCAGATCCTGGCAGGTGGTGCTGATGCATTCTTTGTCCTCAATGCGGACGTGTGCTCCGAGTTCCCCTTGCAGGAGATGCTGGACTTCCAACAACAGCACGGGGACACGGACAGCTTTGTCATCCTGGGCACCACGGTGCGTGGCAGGGACGGGGAGCGGTGCAGCTGTGGCATGGGCTTGGCTGGAAGCTGTTGGATGAGCCCTAGGCTGTGAGCTCTGCTTTCACCCACCTGCTGCTCCCCTGGCACTGACACACCCCGCTCTGCAGGCCAACAGGACGCAGGCTCTGAATTATGGCTGCATCGTGGCCAACGCGGACACGCAGGAGGTAGAGGAAGACAAAGAGTGAACAGTAGACGTGGCGCTGAGGCTCTGCCATGGCCCTCACATCTCTCCTTCACTCAGGTCCAGCACTACGTTGAGAAGCCCAGCACGTTTGTCAGTGAGATCATCAACTGTGGCATCTACCTTTTCACACCAGCCATCTTCCAGCACATTGGCGAGGTCTTCCAAAGGAACCAGCAGGAGCTAGCACTGTGAGAGCCCCTTTCTGCCCCGTGTCTCTCCTACCCCACTGCTCCCCAGGCCTGCAGCAGCACACTCATCCTCCATTCTTTCTCTATCTTCTTTCCTCCTTTGCCATCACTCACTTGTTTCCTGGTCCTGCACCAGCTGTCCTTACCTTGGGTAAGTCAGTCCTTCTGTGTCTGTGATGGCTGCTCTGTGCTGGATTGTGCCTGGTGGTAATGCATGCTTTCCTCCCTGCTACAGACCTGCAAGGCTGTACTGTGCATCTCTTCCCGATGCCCTTTCCGTTCCTCTCCTCCCATCCCATTCTCATACAGCTCTGGACAAGGGGCTTTTCAACTGGGAGTGCTCTGCTTCCCCTTTCAGCTCTCTGCACAGCAGCCTGTCACCTTTGCCACCACCCAGCATCAATCCCGCTGTGCAGGGCTCTGGGCTAGGGGACAGGATCTGTCACAACCTGGGTTGGGTGGAGCTCTTGCACCATCCACTTCTGGCACAGAACTTATTCAAGCTGGCAGAGTAACTGCAGGCTTGGCAGAGATGGCCCTGTCTCTAGGGAGAAGTGCACATCTAGGAAGGAGCCCCCCAGTTTTGGAGAGGGTCTGCCAGGGTCCCCTGCTGGGGCAGGGATCTAAGAGACCTTTTGCTTGCAGAGAGGAGAACTCCAATGGCTGGCAGCGTGCCGAAGTGATCCGGCTGGAGCAGGATGTGTTCACAGCCCTGGCTGGGAGCGGTAAACTCTACGTCTACAAAACTGATGGCTTCTGGAGCCAGATCAAATCAGCTGGGTAAGGGCTTTGGCTGGTGCAGCAGGAGCTCTGAGTAAGTTATGCCAGATGTGGGAGAGGCAGATGCCCAGACAGAGCCTGGTGGGTGGATAGGATGGCAGGTACTGAATTCAAACTCTCCTCTGTCCTGAAGGCAACAGAGAGACAATAACAATCTTCTATTTTTCCTCCCCAGCTCTGCAATCTATGCCAGTCGCCTCTACCTGAACCAGTACAGCCAAAGCCACCCAGAGAGGCTGGCACAAAACAAACCTGGAGGCCCCATCATCCGAGGTACTTCACTGACTGGGAGCTGCCTTGGGTAGCCAGGGTCCACAAACAGCTTTTCCCATGCTCTCAGAGCCAGGTGCTGCTTGGGCTCTGGTCTGCTTCCCTTCACATAGCTGCCTTGTGTTGCAGGGAATGTGTACATCCACCCTACAGCTTCTGTTGACAGCACAGCAGTGGTGAGTGCAGGAAGACTGCGGGGTTGAGGACACCACTGTCCATGACCTTACCCCAATCCTCTGTCTTCACAGCTAGGCCCCAATGTCTCCATTGGGGAAGGAGTGACGGTGGGAGCTGGTGTGCGCATACGCGAGTCCATCATCCTGCACGGGGCCTCACTGCACGTAAGCAGGGTTTGCTCTTGGGCAGGGGTAGTCTCCTCTTCAGCCCCCTGCTGCACCACTCATCCACCACTGTACTCCAGGACCACACCTGTGTCCTCAATACCATCGTGGGCTGGGACAGCACCATTGGGCGCTGGGCCCGGGTTGAAGGGACACCCAGTGACCCCAACCCCAACGATCCCTATGCCAAAATTGACAGCGAGACACTCTTCCGTGACGGCCGCCTCACACCTTCCATCACAATCCTGGGTAAGTACATCCCAGCCCTACACCAGGTCCTACAGTGTGAGTCAGGGTCCTCTTCCTCTTTTTAAACCCCTCACGCTCTCCCTGTAGGCTGCAGTGTCACCATCCCTGCTGAGGTTGTTATTCTCAATTCCATCGTCCTTCCTCACAAGGAGCTGAGCCGCAGCTACAAGAACCAGATCATCCTGTGAGTCAGCTGCTTGCTGGGTGGGATGGCCTCTGCCAGCCCCCAGATATGGCTTCACCTCCTGGGGACTCCCAGCACTCCAGAGAGCCAGGTGTGGGAGCCTTGCAAGTGCCTGAAGCCAGCTCCAGATAGACATTAAAGCTGGTGAGCCATCAGTCTCGCGTGCTGCTTCTCTTGCAGCCCAGGGTGAGGCTTTGGGCCTACACAGGGCCCTTGGCTCCAGGCCAGCTGCTGGCTGAATAGATCACCTGCTCCCTGCGGCATCTTAGGTCCTGAACTCTGGGTACTGCCATAGCAAAGGGCACTACCAGCATGGCTTTGCCCTGGAAAACTTGGTACTCCTGCCCCGGCTCTTCAACAGCTGCTCTTTCCAACTCCTCATAAGGTGTTGGCCCATCTCAGGGGTGCTTTGAATTGCCGGTTCTGCCCAGACACCCCACCCAGCATGAGCCTGGTGGGAGGATTCAGCAGCGTGATTGCAAGAGCCTGAGCTGGACTTCTGCCTACCGTGGGGCAATGCCAGCAGCATTGGGCTGGTCTAACAGCACTGGATGGGACAGCGAGCTCTGTCACATCACTACTGGCCCTGGAGGTGGCTGTGAAAGTACCCACTCCCATAGAAGCACCTTCATACAAAGGCTCTGTGTGAGGCAGAGCTGGCAGCCTGTGCTCTCATCAGGCTGTAACTTGCACAGGTTACAATACGGCAATGGCTCCCTGCCTTCCTGAGGGCCAACACAGGGGCCTCACTGCATGCCTGCCCTCGCACCAGTGATGGCCACAGGGCACAGGAGCAATCATCTCACTTGTGTGCAGGGGCAGAAAGATTTACCGCCTTGCTGCGGCTTGTAAAACCTGTTTTTATTGAAGGCAGCTCACTGCTGATCCTGGCACACAGTAGAAACCAGTGCTGCCCTTTATCCACTTATCTCCCTGCCTTCCCTCCATGTCATGCAGCTCTGCGCTAAAGCCCTGTGTGCTGCCGAGGGCGCATCACGCCTCACTTCCCACCAGGCACTGCATTAGGGATTCTCCATCCATCCCATACCACCCCAGCTGGATGGATTTGCAGCAAATCCTTGCTCCCAGCCTTGTGCATTCCTTTGCCAGTTCTGTTGTGGTCCTTGGTGAAGATTAGCTGTTCCCTGACTTTAAGCACATTAAACTCTTTCAGTTTTGCCTCTGCCTTGGATGTGCTAATTTTCTTGCCCTCTGGTGAACACCCCTGCATTGAGGGGAGCTGAGCCAAAGCACTTGCTCACTTCTGAATATTTTTCCTGTGTCCCATACCTGCCCTGGGTTTTAGTATGGACAAAGGTTTCTCAGCTGCTGGACATGGCTCTGGCAATTTTTCCCCCTGTTGTGCAAAGCCCCTTTTCCCTCAGTAATCCCCTTACTGCCTGTTCCTTGTGCTACATAATAGGTGTCAGGTAGGGGAGAAACGAGCCCTGCCTGGGCCATTGCCCATCCACCCACTCTGCTGGGAGCAGAGCCTTGCACACCTCTGCTGCATGTTGCAGCTCTGCTGAAGGTGAGGAAGGAGTTAAAAGGGGCCCTGAGTTAAAAGGAAGGGAAGTCTTGGGGCTGTTCTGCCCTTAGCAGCAGCTCTGATTACTGGAGGCCATCAGCATCTGGGCTGACAAGGGGCCCACAGTAGAGGGGCTGCAGGGGGCCCTGCCTTTCCCTCCCTGCTCATGAGTGATGGCAGCTGTCTTGCCCCTGTAGAAACAAGATGCTGGGGACTGCTGTGAACAGTGCTTTCAGCTCAGCTCTTGCCCACTGAGCCCTCAGCCCAGCCCAGTCCTGTCCATATACCCTGGAGCTCTCCTGCTGCAGATGCCACTCACACTCAGGCCAGTTTTGCTGCAAACATTTAATACAAACCAACCACCAAGCCCCACGCAGGGCATCATCCCTGTACCACCCAAAGCTACAGGGAAGCTGAGCACCATAGGCTCATGCTGCTCCCTCCTCTTTCTCTTCCTCCTTGCTACTCCGGCACCAGTTCCATCCCTAGGGAGCCACAGCTACACCGGAGAGGGGAAGAACCGCCCCACCTTCCCAGGGGCTGCCCTCTGCCTGCGGGGGAACACAGGAGATGAGTCAGGATGCGAGGCGGGCACCCCCCAACCCCCCTCCTGCAGCACTTACGGTGCCTGGGTGGCTGTGCCCACGCAGCTCCGCAGGGCACCAGGCAGGCAGCACGTCCTGGTGGGGCTCAGCTGTCCCATATGTGGCTCTGGGGCAGTGATGGGGCAGAACAGCGGCTCTGGAGGACACAGGGCGGTTTAGGGGCAAGGAGTCACACCCTGGCTCTGCTGTAGCTACGGGTGTCCCACACACTCACCATGTTTGCTGCTTGGATCTGGCGTTGGCACTGGGTTCTCTTGTTCTGTCCCCACAAAGCCCCTCCAGAAGTCAGATGGCAGTGCCAGGAGCCGAGCCACCACCTGCAGAGAGAGGAATAGATGCTGGAGGAGGGGCAGGCAGCACCTGTGGCAGCACCAGCAGCCTGTGCTCCGCTCACCTTGCACTGCCGTGGTGTGTCTTCCATGATTGCAAGTGGTGTGGGGTTGGCAGAGCCGTGCCCCACCAGCGTGGGGCCGAAGACACGGGACAGGTTGAGGACATCCATCTTGCACTCAGGGCTGCGTGACACCCTGCGAGGGGACAGGGTGGGCACATGGCTTGGCCGTAGGGTGCCCACCTCTACATGTGGGGAGGGCTGGAGTCCTGCAGCCCTCACCTGAGCAGGTGCAGCATGAGGAAGGCCAGCGTGTCCCTGTTGGCGGCAGGCAGCTTGCCCACCACGTGCCGCAGGGCCGTGCCGCAGGCAGCCTCGTCGGGGATGTCTGCGGAGGCACTGGGTATTACGGGAGCGGAGCGGCCCCCGCCCCATCCGAATCCCCACAGCCCCGCTCACCGGCAGCCCGCAGGAAGGCCGGGTGCAGACCGAAAGTGACCAGCGGCTCCTTGAGGCTCCGCAGGAAGTCCTTGAGCACGCCGCACACCACGTGGATGTCGGCCACGCCGCTTGGTGTCTCCCCGCCGTGCAGCAGCCGCCGCTTCCACTCTCGCACCTGCGGCTCCGCGCCCGGCACCCGGTACAGCCCAGCCTGCGGGGTCCGAGCGGCTCAGCCTGCGGGGAGCACGGCCTCACCCCACACCACCACGTCCCCTACCTCAGCCAGGCCCCGCGTCTCCACCTCGGTCACGCACTGCACCACCAGCGCTGGGACCAGCGGGGCGGTCCGGGGGGCGAAGTCGGCCAGCACACCCTGGAGAGGGGGGGCAACGAGAAGGGAGGGCAGCGCTTGGCCCGCTCAGCACCCAGCCCTGGTGCCCGGGGACGCGGCCACCCGCTCACCTCCCGGGGCCGGGGCTGTGGGCGAGGCCGGGCGGTGCACGGCCCGGGGCAGCGCTCCCGGCACTTGGGATGCAGCAGCAGCTGGCACTGGCGGCATTTGAGCGCAGCCCTCCCGAAGCGCAGGCGGGAGCTACATGCACCGCAGGGCTCCGGGCGGATGACCTGGGGTGGGGAGACGGGGTGAGGGCCCAGTACCGCTCTGGCCGTTGCTGGCTCCCCTCACCATAGGGTCCAATGAAAGGAGAGGGTGCTCGGCCCGCACCATTTTGGAGGAGAAGTGGTGCTGGGGGGACGGGAAGTCAGGTGGAGGGGAGTGAGGGGGGCCCGGCGCCGGCTGCCCCACAGATCCGCCCTCAGCCTGGCTCTCCTGCACCAATGCACGGCCACCCCGATTCTCGCTGGTGCCCCACACTGTGGTCAGCTCTGCAGAGAGAAGGAGCAGTGCAGGGTTCCCCAAAGCCAAGGGATGTGGGAGGCTCCCCGCTTCCTGGGAATCCATCAGCCCCCCAGTGGGGATGGAGGCACATGGCACATCCAGAGGACCTTAGTGCCACACAACCATCCCCCAGCTGATCTCCCCTGCAATGGAAGTACCCCAGTTCCAGTCTCACTTCCCCCACATAAGCATACTGTTTGCACCCAAGCCCTCGCTTCCCCCCCACCGTGACCTGCATGGGTGGAGACGCGGTGACCCTGGCGCGAGCAGCGGCGTGGCACTAGCACAGGAGGCGGGGGGCTGCGGGCAGACTCCAGGACTTCAGCAGGACGGGGTGCAGGGGGGATGCTCTCCTGTGAAGCAGAGACAGTGAGGTGGTGTCTGGCTGCAGCCCCACAGACTGTGCTCAGCCAGCTGCCCAGCCCAGGGGATCTCCACTCACAGTGCAGGAGGGTGCCACAGAAGAACGGTGCCGCTTCGCCACAACCACAGGGCCAACCTGAGGGGCCAGGGACAGGCGCTGGAGATAGAACAGAAGGATTGATGAAGAGGAGAACCTCTCCCTGACTGCCCACCAAGCACCCAGATGCAATGGTTTCAGCCCCCCAAAATGTGGCTGCATCCAGACCCCACAGCAGCCACATAGGAACCCAGACCTAGGGAGCAGGAGCCCAGGCCAGGGCTGCAATGCAGAGCAGCACGCAGGATGCCCACATGTGGGGATGAATTATTAAGGAGCCCAGCTGGGCCACAGCACAGGGTAATGGAGTTTCTATTGATTGCAGAGGTTTGCTGAGAGACGGCGCTCCCAGCCCAGCAGCAATACATTAACCCCCTGCCAGGTTCCTCACAGCCCTCTGTGCAGGGATGGAAGGATATCATGCCCTAGCATCCCTCCTACATACCTGTCTTTCCTGGGCCTTGCGCTTCAAGGCCCGCACCACCATCACATCAACATCCTGAAAGACAGCAGAGGTGCTGGCATTTGCCAGGCCAACAGCACCCCAGCACCTGAGCTCTGCCCATCACCATGGGCAGTACCTGAAGTTCCCCCAGGTCACTTCTCACCACATCATCCTCAGTGCGGTCATAGCTGATGTCTGAGTGGGACAGGAGGGACTGGCACGACTCATCCACAGCAGATGACCTGTGGAAAGAGTTTGGTGTCAGCACAACGGGGGTACCCCCAACCCTGCCCAGTGCCCCCACAGCCCTGCTCACCTCCTGCCTGCTGCCAGGGCTGTCCCCAGACGCCATCCAGACAGGGCGCTGAGAACAGAGAACTGCTCTTCACTGCCCCACGGCTCCTGCATCAGCAGCTCAAGGATCAGCTGCAGCCTGCGCTCCTGTGACCCAAATGGGGTGGCATGAGGCAAACACTCCCAGCACCCCTGCTGTGTGCCAGCTGTCAGCCCAGCAGACCTGTTTCTCCAGCTCAGCCTCTGCACGGTGCCGCTTCTTCATCTCCACCTCCACCTGGTTGCGGGCATGCTTCAGCTTCACCTCCAGTGCCATCCGCTCAGCCTCAGCACGGGCCAGCTGCTCGTGGGCACGCTGCCTGTCCTTCTCCAGCCAGCAGCACCGCTGGCGTGTCGCCTCAAAGCTGCGTACAACGCGGATGAAGTCTGCAGGTAACAGCAGTGGGTGGCAAACCGAGCTGGAGGCCGCCCTCAGAGCCCCCCACGAGCTCCACACAGAGATGCCTCACACACCGACCTTCCTCCAGGCGGCCGTCCAGCTCCAGCAGCTGCCGTGCCCGCTCCAGCTGGGCCAGCTGGGCCAGCAGGCGACCGCAGCGCCGCCGCAGCATCCTGCCCCGATGGGCGGATGGACGGTTCGGATAGACGGGACGCACCGCACACCCCCTACCCTCCTCCGCCGCTGCAATCGTGCTCCGCCCCACGGCCCCGGGACAGCGCAGGCTCCGAGGGGCAAGGGGCCCTCTCTGCCGGCCTATGTGGGCCGGGGGCCGGGGTGGAGCCCGGCCCGGCCCCGCCTCCCGCAGCCCCCACGGCTCCCGGCGCGGGGCCCGCAGCTCCCACGGCTTCGGGGCTCCCGGCGGGGCTCCCGGCAGGGCTGTGTCCTGCAGATGGAGCCACCTCCCTGCCGCAAAGCTCGGCTGCTGCCCGGGCCCGCTGGGATGCTGTACCCCACAAGACCCCCGCCCTGCACACCCTCCCTGTCAAAGTTCCCAGTTCCTCTGTCTCTGAGATCCCGCAGGGGCTCTGAGTGGGTTGATGGGGCCTTTGCTGAATGGCAGCCACCCCTCCTTGATGCCTGTCCCAACCTGCTGCAGATGCCGGGAATAGCAGTGGGGTTGGCGGCAGGGCTGGGTGTGCAGGGGAGTCCCGTGCAAACGCACACACACATACACATTGGCTGGGTCTCACCTGCCCTCACACCTCCCTGGCTACCTCTTTGCACCCCTAGCACCCCAGTGCCTCCAGGCACTGAAAAGGGAGGGGGGGGACAGAGCAGGTAGTACCCCACATCTCAGGATGACTTAGAAACACAAAGAGGCACCAGCATGGGCTCATTATGTAGGGTCCAAATGTGCAGGGCTTAGAGCAGAGCCTCGGGAGCAGGTGGCATGGGGTGGGGTCCCCCCATGGGCACAGAGCTGTGCCAGGGCAGCACCAGCACGGCCACAGTGGGTGCTGAGCTGGCAGGTGGGGAGCAGAGAGTGCTTCTCCAAGGATCTCCTTCCTCCCAAGGTTGAATATGAGTCAGGGTTTGGAGCGACTTTAATTACTGCCAGATCGATAGGCTCAGCGTGGCCGAGCAAAATCCAATTGCGGCCCCAGGAGCCTCTCTGCTCAGCCCTAGCAGGGGACAGAGGGGTGTTTGTCCCCTTGGGGTAGCTTTGCCTCAGCCAACACATCCCCTGGGGCTAGGCGGCAGGCTGGGAAGCCTCCAGTTTGACACACTGGGGAGCTGGGACCTCCACTGCTAAGCCTCTTCCTCACCCACGTGCCACGGCCTAATGCATGGAACAGCAGGAACAGCCCCGAGGACACCCAAGCCCAATTACAAGGGACACAGCAGTGAGACCTTCTGATGCTCATGGCTGGGCAGGGTGCACCAACCACCCTACCGGCTCTGTGGTTTGGCCAGGCGCTGCATAAATAGCTGTTTGTGCCTCCGCTCGGCCCCTGCATGGAAAATAATATCGGCTGATGGAACATAATGCCCTGCTTCACATGTTCAATTTTATCATTTTCCGAGGCAGGCAATCTTCGTTTAAAGCTGAATGGGCTGGGGAATGTTAATGAAGTGCCGGCGCTGCTCTGCACCGCGCTTTATCTCTTGGAGAATAATTTGGGTGAGCTCGGAAATAGAGTTCCCAGTCCCAATTCAAGCAGCGGCAGCACCGCGTGCCGATAAAAGTGTAATTCCTGGCCAGCGTGTGGCCCTGAATACATGACAGCTTAACCCTTGGGGCCCCACAGGGATGGCACAGCCTGCCTGCAGCCTCCAGCCCAGCCACCAGCCCGGCACAAGGTGAGTTTGCAGGAGGTGTCTGCTGGTGCGGGTGCACTTGGGCAGTGCAGCACCACTGTGGTCCCTCTGAAGATACTGAGGACCTTTGGCTTGGCAGCCACCAACACAAGGGGTGAAAGAGTCCCCTTGCTGGGGCAGCAGTGGGGTGCAGTGGATGGAGTCTTCCCCCATAGCTGAGCGGGATGGGCAGGTTTCCAGCACCGTTAATCAGGGCTGTGAGAGCCAGGATTAATGCGCACTCCAAGCCTCTCCAGTCCCAGCTGTGATCCAGCCCTCTGCTCTCAGCCAGAGCCGCCTCCACGTGCTGAATTATCAGCCTGAGTAATTAAGTGGAGAGCTTTGTTTTAACGCAGACATCTGATGCCTTCACACCGAGGAGCACAACAACTGGTGCGGGTGTTTATGCTCCATGCAACACATCTGGCTCATAGGGAGAAAACCCATCACCGCCTCTGTGGCACAAAGTTAGATGGATGGGGTGGCTGTGAGCAGTGAGCTTCACTCCATGGTGCCACCGGCTGCCCCTGACCCCTCCAATGTGACACTGTGGTCCAGGGCTGCCTGCAAAACAGGAGCTCGCCCCACTGCGCCCTGCGCACAGCACAGCGTGTTGTGAGATGGGCGATAATTGCTGGCTTGGAGATAAAATGGAAATGGAACACAATAAAACATGGGTTTATCGGAGGTAGGTGGTGCCTGGCTCACCCGATACCTGATGCTGATAAGGGAGCTGGCGTTCAGAAAGGGAGGAATGCAGATCTCAGCTGTCTGGGCCTGCGAGAGGCAGACACCGTGCCATGCAGGAAATTGTTGCTTTGCACAGATTAGGGGATTAGCACCAGTGGGAGGAGGGGGAAGAGCCTGGCGCTGGGAGAAACCAGACTGCGAGGAGAGAGGAGATAGCAGGACGGGCAGATGCTGCTCCTGGCACTGCTGTGGATGTGCCTCATTGAACAGCTTCTTCTGTTCCCCCAAAACTGAGGGCTGCTCCAGCACCGGGAGAGAAACCTGCCCCAAGCATCCCAGGTGACAGCAGAGGCTGTGGCACATTCAGAAGTCAGTGCCATCACGATCTCTATGCACCCACATCATGGGGTTGCCCCGTCCCCCTGCTCCTGTGAACGAGGGTTGGCCATCCCCACCAACTGGAACTGATTCCCTGAGATGCTACATCAAAAGCTTTAATAAAAACCAGATATATCACACCTCTTGTCTCCTCTCCATCGATTCATTTAGCAATTTTACCCAAAAAAGGCAATCAAGTCAGACCGGGCAGATTTATTCTATGTGAGCTCTGAGAACATCTTTATTGCTCCCCCATTCCCCTGCCCTCTAGGACCTCAGAAGCATTTTTCTCTCAATATTTGTTCTACTCTTTTACTAGGGATGAAGCTCTGTTGATGGGCAGTAATTGCCTTGACTGCCCTGCCTTCCCATGATAAAGATTGGTACCTCCCCGGCTACCACCTCCCCCTAACCTGCTCTCCCATCCTTCCTCGACAACGTTATTGACTTGGATAGTTCATTAACAACCCCCCTTAATGACTGCAGCCCAGCCCATGAGGCAAACCTCTCCTGTGGTTTCCCTTGGCAGCTGGCTGCAGGATGTGGTGCAAGATGCTTTCTGCATCTCTGGAGCTATCTAGGTGCACAGCCTCTTCTAGAACCATCATTGATATCTGCTGTCTCCATGTGGGCTCACAGTTTTGCCTCCAACATTGACCTCTCTGGCCAGGCCGGCTGGTCCATGTAGATGGGCAGACTTTGGGTTTTGGCACACAGGATGCCGGAGCATCCCTCAGGCTGCCCGCCCCGGCACAGCTCCCAGGCTGCCGCATGCCTGTGTCACTGCTATCCCTGCACCCTCATGAGCTGGGCTGGATTTGAGCCAGGCGTGATGCCGGGATTAGGCACTGCCTCCTCCAAATGAGCTGTTAATTATCATAATCTGGTAATTGAGAAAAATCTAATTATGCAAAGCTAATGGATTTAGAGCTATGCAGGGGAGCACGGGCCATGGGAGTGCAGCCGGGCAGGGCCGGCACCACAGAGCCGTGGCTGAGCCACCACCAAACCCAACACTCACAGGGCTGTTCTGCTGCTGGGTGCCCGGCCAGGGCTGAGCTGCTGCAGGAGAGAGCCCAGCCTCGTGCCTGGGCATCCTCACCCCCATGGCCTCTGCCAGACTGTGGCCGAGCCTGAAGGTGCAGAAGATATGACAAGGGTGGCACTGAGTGATGAAGCCTGATGTCTTGGATCTCTGCTCTCGTGAGGCTGGGGCAGAGCTGAGGCTCCTGAGGGCCACCTCCATAGGGGACACTGCACTCTCATGCATCTCACCCCACACCAGAGCTGATGCCCAGGTACCTCTGTGCCTCCCTGCAGAGCCTGTGCTAAGTACCCGGAGATGGAGGAAGGAAGCAGGGCTAATTGCTGGGCTCTCAGGGGACAGATGAGAGTGCCCATGGTTTCCAGGGCTGCTTTAGTCTCTGGCTCCATCATTAAGTACGTCTGTGGTCTCAGCACTTAGAAAGCTTCCTGCTCTCCCCACTTCGTCAGAGCGCATTACGCTACCCAGCGCTCCAATTCCTCCATTGCACTCACAGCTCAGCATGTGGCTGGAAGAGACTCAGGGGCCTCCTCTGCGCCCCTGGGCACATCCCTGGTCCTCAGCACCCCTTCACCTGGAGGGCTGCCCCACCGGGCTCCCGGTGCATTGTGCCCAGCTGAAGGATGATGCTGTGGTCCCACAGCAGCGCCCGTGGAGCCTGGAGGAGTTTTCTCGGCGCTCCACACTTCACGGCATCCAGCATATCTTCCAGCACTGCCGCTACACCACCCGCAACCTGCTGTGGCTGCTGGCCTTCCTCGGCTCACTCGCCCTCCTCATTCACGTCTACACCAAGTGCGTGAGCTTGTACTTCCAGTACCCTCACAGCACCCAGCTGGAGGAGGAGACGGCACGCAACAAGACCTTCCCTGCCGTCACGCTCTGCAACCTCAACCCTGCGCGCTTCTCACAGCTCTCCAGCCACGACCTGTACTGGGCAGGGGAGATGTTGGGGCTGCTGGATGGGGCGGGCCGGCCCCTGATGCACGAGGGCATGGAGCGGGATGTGCTGGCAGCCCTGCGGGGCAAGCTGGACCTGAGCGAGGAGGAGAAGAGCCACCCCTTCGACTTTGTGGAATTCGTGGAGCGCGTGAGCCACCGGCTGGAGCTGGGCGAGATGCTGGTGCGCTGCACATTTGGAGGCAGGGACTGCTCCAGCAGTGATTTCCAGACCGTGAGTGCCACTGTGGGGGGCAGATTGGCACAGGCATGGGGCACCTCTGGGTGATGAAGGACCCTTGGTGAGCCAGAGGGAGGGATGGACCGGGGAGCGTGGCTTGGGGTCACCCTGTGTGGATCAAAGC